GCTGTCAAAACGGCCAGCAGTCAAGCAAGTCAGTCTGAGCTAGTCTGAGTTCAGTTTCAAGCATGTGATCACAACAAAGAAAGCCCGATTGAACCTGTTATTTCACGAAATAACATACAACAATTACTTAAAAGCTATGAAACTGGGGAGCCACCATGTCTTCCCCTTCAAATTTAAATCGTCACATTGCTATTTTAGAACTGTCACGCTTCTGTTGGGTTTTTTTAAGGTGCAAAATGGCTTTAAAACAGGTCTACTGCATGTGTGAAAAAACAGCATTTAACAGCGGGTTGGAGGAAATGTGGTGTCTCATGTGTTACACCCGGTGAGAAATTTTACGGGCAATATGGCAGGTGAAAAAGGACTGCCACACCCCCTCCCACCCACCAACCCCATCACCACTACTCTCATATTCATGTACCACATCTGTCAAACTAGATCTTAAGATGTGTTCACTCTGCCGTGGCTCTCTATATGAATTATAAACCAACTTACATGTACTTCGAAAATATTCCCTCCACATCAACTAGATTTACCAACATGAAGATGTAAGTTAGTTTTATTTCATTTTCGTCGTGGAAGATTCAAATTCATAGATAACTAATGAAAACTAATTTTGGTTTATAAGAGCTATGCTATATCTGTTTTCACACTATCAAAATTATTATATTACAAAAGCTGTGTAAACCATATACATTCAAAAAGATTGTAATAAACCAAAGGTGACATTTCAATAAATATGGGTGTTTTTTATTAGGGGTATTAGGGGTTCCCAATCTGCTTGTGGTATGTAGGACTACAGCCATTAGTAAGTGTTGCAGCAGGTACATAAACACACACACACTGTGTGCACTTTAAGAGCTTGCATGTGTAATGACCTGAGGAATACCGCTGGGAAATTTAGAGTACGCACACGAATGAAGCCACTGAAGCATCTGTAACATGTGGTTGTGTTAACCTTTGCCTTTTGAGTATTGAACAGACAGTGGTGAAGACATCAATCACCTTAATCATGTATGCCATTTCTATTATTAGTAATGTAACGGTCACTGAAATGCAAGATTATTATCTAACGACGTTTGTGTTATTTGTGGTATTAATTTTAACAGAAAAGGAGTCCACATTAAAATATATGAACATATAAAAACAGTGAAAGTAGTGGGGATATACCATACATTCAGGGATACATTTTGTTGGTCAGTGGTGCACGTTTCCAATGTCTGTGGATAACTTGCCAAATGTCAACACAAAGATGTTAAATTGTTCCATGGCAGCTACAAGGCAGTTTACCAAGATAATTCATTACATTACATGCTAAATGACCGGTATTGAAACTGCCCTTTTTTAAAATTGAAGACAAAACTGGATTAATCTATCAGATATGTGCTGTTGTAATATAAGGTAGTAGCAGCAGTAACAGTTTGAGGGGAAGTACATTATTAATGTCTACAAGATGTAGCTAGGTAGCTATTGTGCACTTTTAAGGTCTTGCCTTTCAGCCAAATCATTCACTCGTTATCCAATTTGAGTCAGATGTATGGTGTGTCTTGCCCTAGACACGCAATGTTGCACTGATGTACCCTTTGAAAGTTCAACTAGTCAAACATGAGTAACATTAATCATACAGCTAAGGGGACGAGTGCCATGCAGAAGTAAAGGTATTGTACGAGAGCAAGATGGCAATTTTCCTTCTAACAATGTCTCTTCATTCAGTAGCTGTTGAGTATTAGTTGACAAGGCACAGTGTTTGCAGGGTGAATTATTATTATTAATAAGCTCATAATTATTAATAATGAGCGTGTCCTGTATTATTCATGAATCTTTTTCTTTTTTAACTCTAACGAACATTTTAGAATTGTTTTTGCTGAACGATGAATATTGATGATACAATTTATGGACATTTTAATTTTAAGACCTCAAAAGTGAGGATTAACTCACAACCTTTTCCTGGACATTAATCAAGCTGAGTTAGCTAACAGGTTATATACTCCACCTCCAATAGTCTTGCCTAGTTATTCTCGCTTCTATACACATAGCGTTAATATTACTTTAAAAGGCATTTTGACCGGTTTTGTCAAGTGAAAGGTTGGCCTTAGCTTTAATGTTAAGCAGGTTTAACGGTAACGCTAGCTAGCTAACTGAAGTTACAACAATTTACATGAAGTTGACACTTAAATAATGGCTGTGTGAGACAAAACTTTCACTGAACAGGAAAGACATGCAACATTAAAATTGAAAACTTCACTTCCAGTTGAAAATGTCTGGCGTTAACCCAACGGTTAAACTTGTGTCCCGGGAGTTGAGGACATCACCTGTAACATTTTATGAGTTATCAAATGCCATCTTTGTCATCACTGACGCTAAACAACCTTGGGTTCCATACCCATGGCTGTTCTCAAGCTTAACAGCTTAACTAAACTGATGTAATGTGGCTAAAAAATTTGCTGATTTACTCAGTTACAGTCTCTCTTCCGCTCCACCCTGCTGCCCATATTTGGATTTTGCCGACTCAGACGATAAAGATGGCGGCTAACGGTAATGCTAATTTCTTTTTAATTCTTATGTATCTATTGCTTCCATTTGATTTTTGATTATACGATTCATTGATTTTTATGTCTGTTTTATTTGTCTCCTTCATGTAAATTTAGTGAAAACTATATATCAATGTATGAAAAAAAAGTGTTTTAAAGGAAACTCTCATGGTATTGAAAATTATTTTGTTTTTATTTTTGTTTGTTACATCACCTTAAAAAATACCACAGCCTCACTACTTTCCTAAAATCAATTACTCACTTTAAGTAGCCTAATTATAACTTATTTCAAAATATATTTTTTACCAATAGGCTATGCGATCTGATCTCTTTGTTCAGATAAAAGTTTAAATAGAATACCAAGTACTTTCGCTAATAGGACAAGAAATGGAAAAAATGGTCAGCAGTTACACAAGCTGCCAGACATAATACAATTCAAAATGTATATATACCACTGAAAATGCCAATGGGGTTTAAAGGTTACGCTTTATCTCATAACTTCCTTTTTTATGATAACAACATCTGAAAACCAGCATTCGTATTCAGTTGGTTTGCTTTCTGTGTGCGCATGCACTGACATATGTGTGTGTTTGTATAGCTGATCTAAAGCCCAGCCGCCGTCTGAGCCTCGTGTGTCTCTTTAATGTTTTACGCTGGTTGATCGCTTGATGGTGGTTGACGAAATATACTCACAAGAGTCCATTTTTGCCACAAACACACACACACACACACACACGCACTCACGCATATCCCCCAACCCAAACAAATCCCTTGAAATCTGGAAGAGAAACAGACACTCAAGAGCAGCTGCAAAACAGGATGCCCTTGAGAACAGGACACCCCACCCAACATGGCCTGAATAAACAGTTTTGTCAGAGGGCAGAGGGGCGGAGCATTGAGCAGGCTCTGGACAGGGAGGGATGACAAAGAGAGGGATACACAAGGCCAAGTAAAAGTTCAAGATGTCTAAATGCTCTGAGCTGAGGTGACACCCAACTGTGACATGCTCACGACATACTGTAAAAGCTAGACCCCCTTTTCTGTGACAATAACTGCAGCAGGGCTGTCTTCAAGACCACTGAAGTTGAGTCTGGACAGTTTCAATTCAAGTCCAAATGAAGACAAGATCAAGTTCATATTTTGTGTATGTGTTGTGCATCTATCCATGCATCATCAGCACCTGCTTTGTGTTTGATTGCTGTTAGATCACTTGTTTTTCTATTGCAGGAAACAACATAATCTTTGTGCATAACTGTTCACATCAAAAATGAGGATGCGAGATCGTTACATGGCAAAGACACACTATGAGAAATAAGCATTACTAGCAGCATGTGAGGAAGAATTTTGCATTTTCTTGAGGGAACTGACGGTAGAGCAGCCCCTTCAGTCTGCTTTAAGAGCAACTACAGCGCTTGGCAAGAGAAGCCTTTTTATGAAATCGGCAGATAAGAACGCATAAAGTCAAAGTAGATGAAGGTGAACTGCTCCTAAACAGACTTTTTACTGTTACTTCGACAAGTTGCTATTAAACATATCTGTTATGACAAAATATTGCAGTATTCTAAGAATTTAACCTAATATTCTGAATAACATCTTACATTTTTTTATCGTTGCGATGGGGATTAAACACTCAGCAGAAAGTGTCAGAAATATTCTAGTCTTTTTTTTTGGATTACATAATTTTGCCTTTGAGCTGTGCACTATGATAATATCCTGTATTATCAGACATCAGCTATTGTCCCCTAAAGGTTTTGACTATTTAAGTGCGTCTGGATGTTTTGGTAAGATATTAATATTCTTCAGGGTCTCTGCAGTGCTTCAGGGTACTGCATTGATGCTCCGAAATGCTCAAAAATCACAAGTTAAGGTTTTTGGGGAGGGAGGGGGAATTGCTCACAGTGGGCTGAAAGTAGATGGCGTAAGACGGAGCAAAAGGAGCCAGAGGAGTGCAGGAGGAGACAGTGGAAGCGTGGGTCAGCCCCTGAGACATGTACTGAGCGGATGTGGAATGACAGCACAAGCCCAATTAGTCTTAGATGCCAGGGCTGCTACAGGGAGGTCGGTGCAAGTGATCAAGCCATTCATGCATTCAAGCACTCACCCACAGGCACTCTACGCCAACGGCCTGGGTAAAGTTACTACAGTATATCACTGCTTCGGCTGGACTCTTGATCACTCTCATAATGCTGCCTCTGCTCCCCTTCCTTCCTTCCTTCCTTCCTTCCTTCCTCTCTCTTGAAATATGCTGCTTCCCATTTCTTTTTCTTTTTTTCCCTCACTAATCCTCAACTGCATCTTTCATCGGCCTCTCTTTTTTTTTTCCTCACACGTTCACTCTCGCAAACACGCTGCCTCTTAAGGACACACACTCTACTTGAAAGCCTGTCCATGCCTTAACGCCGACAGTGCCACTCCCTCTGTCATCTACACCCTCCCACTTGTTTCCCATCCCCAGAGCTGGAGTATTACCTCATCCCACTCAGAGGCAAAGGAAGGCATGCGCTCCATGGACGGCTGCCCAGAGCTGCAGTTAGACACGGACCCACTGCGGCCAGCCAGACCTCCATCCTCCTCTCCGAGTGGTGACGCCAACAAGTCAGAGTCCGACTTGGACAAGCTTCGAATCAGCCCCAGGTCTGCGGGTCTGACTTTGACCGCTGCCCTGTCCTTGATGTCAGCTTGTGGATTTTGGATCACCTTGGTGGGGTTGGCATCCTGTGTGCACTCCGCCATTGTTTTGGAGCTGCCAAGTGCAGCTCAGGTTCCTCACTTTCCTGCAGTAATATGACTTGTTTCGTGGGTCCAAAGAGTGATCCAGGATCTCTGAAGTACTGAAAGATACAGATTAATGAAGTATAACTTGAGGAACTTGCCTCCAACTCACACAAAGTGCTCCTCTTTTGAGGGAAGGAAAGCATGGAAGTGAAAGATTTGTTGTGCACAGAAACAATCATCAAGGCCCAACCCACTAGTTGTATCCTGTTGCCCTCCCCTTAGTGGCCGGCTGCCCCAAAGGGTCCCCCTCCTTTATGCTCTCAACTGTGACTTTTTCTGATTCACTTTCCCACATTCACATTGTCTGTTATAACTTATCAGGCTGGGTATCTCTACAGTCATGTGGTAATATAATTGAATATCAAGAGAATATTCTCAGACCAATCTGAAATAGGAGAGTAGCATCATAAAGCCTAATGGCTGATGGTTCAAAACTTTACCATCAGCTGACCATAGAATTAAAAAAATAAACTCCTCATTTTAGCATCCTCTTACCTGCTGACTTGTGTAGCCCTGGTGCTTTCCCTCCTCTGTGGTTTTTGCGTCTGTCCTGTTCTGAGGTTGTTGCCAGACTCTCCAGGAGGACCGGCTATGTCCCATACTGAGGATCAGGGGACGGGAGGATCCCAAAGCCCGGCCTTATTCAAACTGACAGCTGGGGTAATCAGGTTACTGACGCACTGGGTGGCTGCTCCATTTTAAAGGAGGGAGAGTCGGGTATTCCTCTTCTTCTTCTGTGTGTGTGTGTGTGTGTGTGTGTTTGTCTGCAGGAAGCTGAGGTTACTGAGTTGAGCTTAGTTTTGTTATTGTAGGCCAGACATGACTTTTTCTGAACCAGCATGGATATAAACCGCCACACATGATACAGCTGGCAAATAACTTTTAACTAGTTTTAATACTGCTGTGAAGTTCAATATAGAATAACACATCATACTTTATCAGTTAAATATATTTTGCATAAATAATCTGAATCTGCGACGTAACTAAAGCTTTAAAAATGAATCTAGTGCAATAAAAAGTATAGAGTGGAGAAAGTAAAGTAAAAAGTACCTCAAAATTTAAGTACAGTACTTGAGTAAATGTACTTTGTTACCTGTCTCCACATCCATCTACAACACTTCTTGGCCTAACTCCGTAAGTGTCAATGACCTGAAGTGCAGCAGAAGATTTAGGTTGACGCTTCTTTTTTTTTGTCGGTAAATTCGGCCTGACCAGGAGCTTCAGCTCAAATATGCTTTCATGCACATAATATTTCACAGTCACAAATCCCGTCAAGGCCAAAAGTGGTGACACGGCGAAAGAGATGTTGACGCCAAAATCATTAGATTACATAGATTTTCTCTACTTCTCCGTGATGTATTTGAAGGAAAATATCACACTTATATCATCTACCAAACCGTGAATGCCATAAAGTGTTTTGTATTGTGACATGGATGTAGAAGGGAAAAATTAACTCTTGGGTTCTGCAGAGGCGTAAAAAAAAAAGAAATTCAAGATATGAAATGCTGCTATGGGAGGAATGTAGAAACGATCTCAAACACGCTGTGCTATTCATGACTCTCCTCAAAGGGAGTTGATGCTGACAAAAGAGACTCTAGTGAGGCGTCCTTAGTATGCAGGCAGCCGTCACCGTGCACAGCGCGCCTCCGTGCCCTCAATCAGCAAAGTTCCTTGCATGCTCACCTCTTATGGGCAGCGCTGGTATGTGCATGACAGAAAAGATCACATCCTTCACTCGCCAAGGAGGGCTCACACAGCCACACGCTGCTTAGCTGGCAATAACAAAAGCCACATCTAACGAAGCAAATTGAATTGCACATTTAATGATCTCCATGACTGTGATGAGGATGAAACAGTTTAAGTTACCCACGTCTTCTGTGCCGTTTTAAAACAATAGAGGCTCTGGAATAGAACATGTCTCGGGATAATGATGTCTTCACGGCATATTAAAGCGACTAAAATAAAACATGCATCCCCTCCTTCAGCCGGCTGGCTGCTGAGCCTCGGGCTGAAGACAGTGGTGACTCATGAACACTCTTCTCCAACAAAGACATGCACACTGTGCAAGTCACAGAGAGACAGCGCATACAGTAAACAGACACACACACACACATACACGCAGGAGTGTATGTGTGTGTTTTCCTGTGCACAATTTGTGTGTATTAGGTGTGTGCTCCAAAATTGTTTGTGATCCCATACATACGGATGCCTTTTCAGGAGTCTTGTGATGTTTTTCCACCTGCTGTACAAGTCCACAATTGACATTTTTAATAACACTGCGCTAGTTCCAAAACCGTTTTTCTCCCCACCCCAACTGATATATCATTATCCTTCTCTGCAATTTGGTGCCCTGCAGTTCCCACCTGATCAGCCGTCATTACAGAAAAGGAGAATGAGGCCACTGGGTAAAGATCTAATAAAGTTAATCAAGCTATTACTGTTCAGATAGGCTTCAAAACGAATCGGCAAGTGGCAACAAAACTGCAAATCAGCCTCTTACCAGCATCATAAACAAGCTGTGTGATTCTCCGTATGCCTGGGAATCTACAGCCCTAAATGACAGTTACACTCTCCTAAATCCCATAGTGCATTGTTTGGCTTGTGTTTTGGCCTTTGGAGAGATGGAGCGGACGTTAACCCGAGAGTCAAGAATGCTCTAACCTTTAAGGTCATCTGTTCCCCGAGGCAGCAGGGATGCCAGTCATCCAAGATTTCATTCTCAGAGCCCAGAAATGTGGGAATTCAAACTGTTCATCACTGAACAAGCACAGAGATCAAAGAAATAATAATGTACAAGATCAAGCTACGTGCAAAATACTCCAAATAAAGAGATAATTCACAGGCTCACAACATATAAAGAATTGGCATTTTGAAATAACCATAAAACAAAGTCAATATTCATTCAGTAAAAGGGATGCTATTTGCATTTTCTTGGGGATATCAAGTACAGGTGTTTCACTTTTCTCTCTTCAGACTTCACTTCAACAGAGGCAACGTCAAAAACGACCTGCTGTTAGCTCAGAGTGGCTAAGGACGCCGCTCCTGTGAAAGCTTTCCAACGGGCACGAACAGAACTGACCTCTCAGTGGGGAGATGTGAGGGCAAGTGTGCATGGCTGAGTTAAGACGTAGCGCTGGATATCCATCAGTGTTGGAGAGTGGGAGAGAGACAGAGAGACTGGAGGGTGGAGAGATTCTCTTTTCTCAGTGTCTTACTGGGTTTAGTTGGTAATCTCGCCGGGTTAGTCTGTGAATCCCGATCAAATTCCCTTTTATCAATAGCATCGGCAACATCTGTGGGTTATGAGAAAATCAATATGAGGTTCCCCACTGAGAAGGGATCTGACAATTCTCTACTGGTGTAGAGTGGTTTACTGGCGTTTTGGCCACGCTTATGCCACGGCTCCATGGATGGAAATGTCGGTTGGTCCGTTGAGATTTCTCAACATTTATTGGATGTATCACCATGAAATTTGGAACAGACCATCATAGATTCTAGGTGATGTTTAGCAATGACTTCGGTCAAAGCTTTCACTCATTCTGTGATTTATCTTCCCGATGGATTGGCACAAAAAATGTTGTACATTCACGGCCCTGCAACGATGAATCCTAATGGCTGTGACTCTAGCGCCACTATAAGGTTCATATTTGTGGTTTAGGGTGAAATATTCTTGACAAAGACGAAGGGATTGCCGTAACATTTTGGTGATCCCGTCTTTTTATCCAGCGCCATCATCAGGTCAAAATTCAAACCAGTACTTTGTTTTATGACTGAATATTTGCTGAATCATTCTTAAGTGTACTTTAAGTTTTATGCAAATTCTAGCATTCTAACATGCTGAGCTAAGATGAACATGGTAAACATACCCACTATACATCAGCATTAGTTTCAAGGTTTGAATAAGTTTTTGATAACCTGCAGATGCCTTTGAACAAGATGCATTGTTGTGACAATGCGAAATAGAGAGCGATCAATCCCGAGCGGGACATTCCAGCATTGTTGCTATGAATTCTCACCTTCAAAAACTGCTTTTCAGCGGTGTTATTACAGCCTTTATTCTGCATCCTTTTCAAAAACTATGTTGTTGTTTTTTGGTCTGGTGTGATAAGAGATCGCTTGTTCTTTCCTGGCGTCACGTGCCACAACAACCGCTGCCGGCCATGTAAGGATAAAGATACATTTAACAGCTAAATACAGCATGCTGGAAAGATCCGAATCAAAACCGTGGAATCCAGCTGCAGTTCATTCACTTGTACATACACACGAGAAACGATGGCATGAAAGAGGTGTGTGTGTCTGTGTCATGCAAGTGTGTGCTCACCTGCAGTGTATTTATATATGCACGTGAGTACACATATGTGTATGCATTTGTATGTATGTACGGAGGGGTAAAAGTTTGTGTTGAAGCCAGAGGCACGCAGGACTTCCTGTGTTAGGTTACTGCTCTCTGTGCTGCTCTCAGTGAAAACAATGGGCACAGCTCTGTGTTTCTGAATTTCCCTTCAGGGGGGGGATGATGACAATGGCCACTGACGCAGTTGTTAGTTGTTAGTAGCACTGTTTTTATTGCAGTATGATGATTTAAAAAAAACATGTAAATTGAATCTAATAACTAAATTATGCATCGTGTTTTATTAAAGGTACGTGGGGAGAAAATGAAGGAGGGACACATTTAAATTCAGAGGGAAGAAAAGGACAATGGGGAATAAGAGGAGAGCAGCTGGAGCGAGCACTTCTGATGGAGCTCACCGGCCCCTTAATTACTCCACAGATAATGCTGTCAGTTCACAGGCAGGTCACTTTCAGCATAACACCACCATGATAGCTGTCCTTGACAAGCTCCATATCCAGAGAGTACCGGAGATATATGGCCTAATGATAGTAATGATATTGGCAGTCATGAATCAATCAGACATGCTTGATAAATTCAGCTGAGGGTCAAGAAATTTATTCTCAGGGAAGTGATACTGTAAGACAAGCCACTTCCATTGTTAGATGGCTCGCGCAACACTTTGCGAAAGATTAAGAGCACACAACGAGAATAAAGACATTAATGACTGTTCATAGTTGAGAGGACATCTGGCTATAAAAGAGGAGTTTGCATGTCGTCGAGGTGCAAAATACTACAG